GTTTGGTTTTCTACGTATTCACTTGAAGTTCTTCACATTTAATAAGTTTGTCACAACAAAACCATGTTTTGGAAATCTCTTAGGATCTTCTGGCCGGATCCGAAAACAAATTATCAGTTCCCCACCAGGAGACCCAGACACTTGAAAGACACCTCGTATGCCTCGATTGATGCATGGGAAGTCTAACCGTGAGTGAGGGATCCGCACACACGTATACTCGCAGTTATTCAAATGCTATGTAGGGCCTAGTTGAATGTGGCGCCGCCGTCGCTGTAAACTGTTTTCAGAGTATTTTCATGTATTGAAAATTTGCCATCTATAGCTTTGTTCAAAGAAGTTCTTACAGCCGCTAGCATTGGACATACCAATGACTCGTAGCTAATGTTTTTCTCCTGTTCAAAAAATGTCCAACCCCCCAATGGCGTTGTAGGTTACCTCCGTAGAGGATAAGAACTGGTAATATTGCAATTTCTGAATTATATACGCCGTAAAAGTACTTGCTAGTACGAATGATTCTGAATAGTTAGAATTTAGTACAGCTACATTTTTTAGTTGTTTTTTTTTACTAATGCGAACAAAAATGCACATAAAAATCATCTGGAAGCTGCTCTTCAGCGTTATCCTCTAATAAGATCGTTCTCAATTATTTCCGATAATTCTGTCACAAAATCTTCTACAATTATATTTTATTCGTCCCTGGATTTGCTTAATACTTCCATATTTTTGTCCCCTAATTTTCGAAGAGATTAAAAACTCCACAAAGTCAGAGTATGCAATTGTTCTATTTGTTTTGATGCGAATCTATATAAACATTAAAAAGTGACTGTTTTGTACGTTTATGTGAATAAGGTGTTAGCTACGTTTTAATAAGAATAAGTTGTTACATTCATTTTGGAATTGGTATTTTCATGCCTGAAGCCTGTAAGAAGTCGAACGTAAGAATGTAAATGTGCTTCTGTCGCAGTACTCACATTTTGGTTTTTACCTGAAGTTAAAGCAATACGTTCCAAGGCAATACTGTTTGTTGGTTTTTGCAAATGTATTTTTACAAATACGGATACAAATTAAATGAAATCTGTCGCGCGGCGATTCATTTGTCGCTTTCAACATAACCTACATAGATCTATTTGGGTGGCGTTGGTCTAATTCCCGACATAACCACTAAGATGGCAGCGCTAAAACACGTTTTTGTAAATTTATTACAATCTTCTGATCGGATCCGAAAACAAATTATTAATTCCCCACCAGGAGACCGAGACGCCTCGAATGACACCTCCATACGTTTTGATTGGTGCACCGTGGTCTGACCGTGAGTGGTCCAGTAGTCTAACCGTGAGTGACGGTTCCGCTCACTCGCACTCATAATTACTCAAATACTGTATAGGGATTATGTTTCTCAAACTTCAAAAAAGAAACTCTTTTATAATATAAATTTGAAGATCCGAAAAATAAAATGTCTAAGTAGGTTTTCTTAATTGTCCCAACATTGGGGGATGGGGGCGGTTGCCCCCCCCCCCCCTCCTGATTTCCACCTCTGCTTTGCACTTCGATAGGCTCTCCAATAATCGCTGTTTTCACCGAATCTCGGTTTTTCCCGGTCATACGTACGTGGTGAAACGTACTATTACGATTTGTGAAGGGAAACTGAATTGTTTTCGTGCGTCATCAGTGAGTGCTTTTACTGGGTTTGTTAGTGCTTTTTAGGTTTTTTGTTATGCACTGTGAAGGAAAATAAAGGTATCGTAGTTTAGCTGAAGCAAAAACGATTTCGTTAATTTACATTTGAAGATAAGCTTTTAATTGATAGAAAATCTTTGCTTTTGATCGTGACACAAAGAATTTTTCTGAGAATTTGTTGCTAACTTGAATTCAAATGTGTGTGAATCTGGTTGTTATTAACTGAACTGCCATATTTTGTGACAAATTTTCTTGAAACCTGGTTAAATGTTTGAAAGAAGAAAATTTTGACTGCACATGTAAGAAATTTTCCGTTCAGTTAAATTAGAACACTCCACAAAGGAGTTTCTCTGTTTCAAAATTAATACATAATTATAAAAGAAAACAAAGAGAAGAGACATGTGCAACTTGTCCCGCGTATTAATTGACAAAACTCTAGAAATCCATAGCAGTGAAAGATGATTTCTGCAACTGTCATTCTATAACACTACAACAGGACGGCTCGACTACATATTTCATAATGTAGGATATATGTGTGTGTGTGTGTGTGTGTGTGTGTGTGTGTGTATATATATATATATATATATATATATATATATATACACACACATAGATATAGATAAATGTGGGCGCCAAGCGCGAGAGTGGCTCTGGGTCGGAAAGGTGGCGCATGCTCTTAACTTATTCATTAAAACAATTGATGGTTTAAGTGTTGTTCGTCAGAATGATGTTCGCACATTTATTCAAAATATCACTATTCTATTACATGCTCAGTTAATGTCTTTGGAAGAAAGCAATCCCCTTCTTTGTCCACTAGCATGACAGTCTTTCGATTCTGGACAGTGGCCTACTGTGATAAATTTTGTGTTACCTCGCTGTAGAGCTCATTGCCGTCCTTTTGGATTCACGTTCTGTGTGAATCGGAATGCATGTCTCGGCAGGTGCTCACCGTGACAAGTGTTTTTTGTGACTCACCGTGCCAGGACGTTTTAGCTTTCGTCCGCCGAAGGGAATAAATTCCGTTTAATGTATTACTTCGCTGAATAATGACGGTTCCAAATAATTACACTGGTTCAAGAGAGGATGGCATCCGGTGGAGCGAAAACTTTGTAGCTTTCAAGTTGCAATTTTAAAAAGTGTCAGAGCTCAAAGTTTTAGAGACATTAGTCTTTACACGATGAAATTCAAACTGCCTCTCTCGATGGAATTCAAGCAGACTCTCTAGTTGGATTTCAGACAGTATCTGCCTCTCCAATGACTACTCTGTCGCCCTATGCCACTGTTGGTTCGCTTAGCTACTTCAGAATGTTCTATGGTGTTGTGGTGACTTATTGGTCGGAGAGAGAGAGAGAGAGAGAGAGACAGGGATGGAGCGATGGAGCGAGTGCGCGCACGTGAGAGAGGGAGCGAGTGCGCGCGCGAGAGAGGGAGCGAGTGCGCGCGCGAGAGAGGGAGCGAGTGCGCGCGCGTGAGAGAGGGAGCGAGTGCGCGCGCGTGAGAGAGAGGGAGCGAGTGCGGCGGCGCGTAGAGAGAGGGAGCGAGTGCGCGCGCTGTGAGGAGAGAGGAGCGAGTGCGCGCTGCGTGAAGAGAGGGAAGCCGAGTGCGCGCGCTGAGAGAGAGGGAGCGGAGTGCGCCGCGCGTGAGAGAGAGCGGAGCGATTGCGCGCGCGTGAGAGAGAGGGAGCGAGTGCGCCGCTGGAGGCAGTCCCGCGAGAGAGAGGAGGAAGCAGCAGTGCGGCGCGCGTGAGAAGAGGCGACGAGTGCGCGCGCTGTGAGAGAGAGGAGCGAGTGCCCGCGTGAGGAGAAGGAGCGAGTGCGCGCGCGTGAGAGAGAGGGAGCGAGTGCGCGCGCGCTGAAGAGAGGAGAGGCCCGGAGAGACGGACGGTGCGCGCGCGTGAGAGAGAGGAGCGAGGCGCGCGCGTGAGAGAGAGGGAGCGAGTCGCGCGCGTGAGAGAGAGGAGCGACGTGGCGCGCGCGTGAGAGAAGGAGCGAGTGCGCGCTACGGTGAGAGAAGGAGGGGAGCGCGTGCGCGCGCGTGAGAGAGATGGGAGCGAGTGCGCGCGCAAGAAGAGCCGATCAGGAGAGAGGGAGCCGACGTGCGCGCGCGTGAGAGAGAGGAGAGCGAGTCGCGCGCTTGAGAGAAGAACGTGCGCCAGAGCAAGAGAGCGGAGAGGGAGAGAGAGAAGCAGAGGGAGAGAGAGCGCGAGAGGGAGAGGAGAAGAGCGCGAGAGAGAGAGAGAGCCACGAGAGAGAGGAGCGCGAGAGAGAGGGAGAGAGCGCGAGAGAGAGGGAGAGAGCGCGAGAGATGAGGGAGAGAGCGCGAGAGAGAGGGAGGAGCGCGAAGAGCAGAGGAGAGAGCCGCGAGAGAGATCGAAAGAGAGCGCGACAGGAGGAGATGGGAGGAGAGTGCGAGAGGGAGAGAAGTGAAAGAGAGAGATGAGAGAGTAGAGAGAGGAGAAGGGAGAGAGTTGAGAGAGGGAGAGAGCAGTGGAAGAGGGAGAGAGCAGTGAGAGAGGAGAGAGAGTGAGAGAGGAGGAAATGAGAGAGAGAGAGGGAGAGGGAGCAGAAGAGAGAGGAGAGAGAGTGAGAGAGGAGGAGAGTGAGAGAGGAAGAGAGTGAGGAGAGGAGGAGAGGGGAGAGAGAGTGGAGAGAGTGGAAGGAGAGAGCAGATGGGAGAAGAGGGAGAGAGGGGAGAAGAGGGAGAGAGAGTGAGAGAGGGAGAGAGTGGGAGAAAGATGAGAGGGAGAGAGAGTGAGAGAGGAGAGCAGAGGAGAGAAGAGTGGAGAGAGTTGAGAGAGGGAGAGAGAGCGCCGAAGGGAGAGACGAGAGACGAGATGAGACGCGACGCGGCGCGCGAGGAGACGAGCCGCGCGAGAGAGAGAGAGAGAGCGAGGGAGAGAGAGAGAGCGCGCGCGCGAGGGAGAGAGAGCGCGCGCGAGAGAGAGAGAGCGAGAGAGAGAGCGCGAGAGAGAGAGAGAGGGAGAGAGCGAGAGAGGGAGAGAGCGTAACAATTTTTACACTTGAAATATTTGCACTTGCCTTTAAGAAAAAACAATGTGTTAAAAAAAGAAATCATTCATTCCATGATTTGAAATCTTGTGACCATTTCATTGTTGGGGAAGTTGATAAAGCTAGCTTTCAACTGATCTTTTTGGGGTACTCCTATTTCCCTGTCTCCATTATTCACTTCATCCTCACTATTGCTGTCATCTATTTGTTCAATCAGTCCTGGTCCTCACTGACCTCAAATGTTACCCCAATATATAAATGTTGTTTGTTTTATATATAATTGTTTTCTAATTTACATGTATATTTTTTTCAAAGCTATGCTGGAGACTGTGATATTTCGTTTAGTCTTGGAGGTTTAAAAGGTGGTATCAAGGACTTCCAGGTGTGTTAAAAATGCTCTCTTTATTCTTCTAACATTTGTTAACACCAGGGTATCATGCAATGAAATGTTATGAAACGAAGTAATGGAATACTTCATTGACCTCTTCCCAAAATGGGCATTAAAAACTCATTCTTTTATCACTTCTTGAAAAGTTCTTTTACTTCCCATTGTCAGTTTTATGATGGAGACATTTCTGAAAATTTCTTTCTGATAAAATTCATTTTTTGATAACTTTGTTTGCCATTCTATGCGTACTTCCAACTAGTGTCTCTGGATACTTAACCTATGATAATGTATGCAATTTAAAGAAATCAACCAAAGAAATTCAAATTGACAATTTCTTTGTAAAGTGTGATATCTGTGTAGGATATTCACTTGAATTTAGAAATTAATTATGTTCTATAAATCTGTTTTTCATCAGTGTTTTTGGGAAAATTCTAACACTATCACTTTGTGTGTTCTAGATTCATGGCATGGTTCGTGTGGTCATGAAGCCTCTGATCAGTGATATGCCACTTGTTGGTGGGCTTCAGATCTTTTTTCTTAATAATCCAACAGTTGACTTCAACTTGGTAGGAGTAGCTGATATGCTTGATATGCCTGGTATCAGGTAAGGACCATCGGTTGTACTTCTTCTTTAACAACGCCCGTATTGAACAACTTATTTCATTGTTCTGAGTGATTTCAAATTTATAATCGAAAGTACTAATATTGTAGGTTACAATATTTTAATTGTAAAGAAGTAATTTGCATGTTCAGGTTATGAATCATTACATCATCCGCAGCACCTTAAGAAATTGGATATTAATGTATTCTTCAACAAGCGCACAATGATAGCTATTATTCACGAGTTGATGTTTACGAGACTCGCTCCTATGTCGCTCTTGTCGTAATTTCTATAAATGGATAATAGCCATTATGCAAGTGGAAGACTTATTCGTTCTCTACGACCTCGAAATATTCAGAATAAATTTTGAACAGATTTTTTGTTATTTACGTCGGTAAACAGAGGCTTAGCTACTAAGCAACCAACCATCTAACAATGCTTTAAAAGCGCCTCAATAGCTACAGCTGTTCAAATGCTTGAGAGTCTATGAAAAATATTTTAGCGGACTCTCAGGTTTAGATTTTATCAGTGTTTATAAATCTTTAAATCAATATGTCCCACTTATCCCTTTTCCTTTTTGTCCCATTTCGTTCATTTCTACTGATGCCCTGTTTGTCCCTTTGGCTCATTTTGTTCATGTCCCGTTTTATCCCACTGTTCATCTTGTCCCATTTATTATCTTAGTCAATTTATCCATTGTCCTGTTTGCCCCCTGTCCCATTTTGTCCACTTGTACCATTTCCTCCTATTGTCCCATTTTTCGAATTGTCTAATTGCCCCTTTTCCCCATTCTGTCCCCTTTCCCCCCTTTTCTAATTTTGTCCGCCTTTCCCCGCTTTGCCCACATGTCCCCGTTTGTCATTTTGGTTCTTCCACGCACTGCGATTGTTATTTAAAAACAGTTTTGCAAATTGCAAAGAAAATGCAATGTGCCTTTGTATCCTAAAAATTCTAGGAATGTGATTGGTCGACAGGTCGTGGATTCCGAACTGGAATCCACAGGGGGTGTAATCGATGTCATTAGTCAATTAAAGATACAGCAGGAATATGTATATTATTATATGGTCCTACAGTAAAAAAAAATTATTTATTTTTTATTTTCTATTTTTGCTCATACTTCTAGATGTTAATTTTCTCATAGTTTCACTTTACTTTATGCTATAATAACACTTGATAATATAATATAACTTGTTTCTTACTAACTCTTCGCCTGCCCTCTTTCCCAACTCTTGTCATTCTGTTGGTCATCACTTTTCTCAAAATCTTCTCATACACTCCCCTTTCTCATGGTATTTTTGTTCACACAAGCATATACACACAACCACATACCCATATACCTCCTGCCCACACACGAACACGTTCACTGAAATATGAGAACATTGACATGAAAATTATCTTGAACAAATAATTACTTATTTGTGAAAGTTAGCTACTGTGCTTGAAAATGAAAATTAACTAGAGTGCGTAACTGTGTAACTCCTATTTTATTAAATATCAACTTTACTGTACATTCACAAACAGACTTTCATTCACCCATAAACTTAGATTCACATATGAACCTACATTCAAACATAAACTCGTATTCACACATGAAGCCATATAGACACACATTCATGCATGAACTGAACTGATGCATAAACCGAGAAATGGAAAATTATTTAAATTTCCTAAATATTCCTTGTTCACAGTACGAGATTTTACTGTGTCTCTTCAGAGCATTGTAAACCTTATTTAAAACTTCATAACTATTGAAATTTAACACTTTTTTGTTTGAGAATAAAGGTCACCAAAAGAGTTTTTTAACACCCTTGCCACCGCAAATCCATGATACTGGTACCCAAAATTTTGTTATTAAAATGTGTGTCATTTTTTAATGTTCGTAATGATTCTGAGAGTTGGCTTTTTGAGCCTTCTTTACTTATATTTTCCTCTTCGGAGAATCTTAGTCTGTATTTCTCTCGTTTTCAATATTTTCACGGCACAAAAATATATGATTCCATAATTATGTAGTCACACTTGGTTCATGTTGTGCTTGCCATTCCACATCACAGATGTGCATTGATAGGCCGCATACTCTTCTCCATTGGACCAGCATCATTCCCAACCTAAAATGGGTACAAATATATTGTTGTTTCATGCATTAAAATAATAAAGTAAGGAAATAAACGTAAATAAAACTACTCTGCTCATAAATTAATCGTGTTCTCTGATAAACATCAACATAAGCAATGAAGTTTCGAAACATGATAGCAATTTCATAAGCACAATGAATGTAATGAATCACTGTTAATCTGATTCACAGCACAGGCGAAGTGGTATTTGAGAGAGTCGTTAATTCACATGAAGAATTGAATCTTCAAAGGCGTGATGTTTGAAATTTGAACAGAACAGAATGTAATAAAATAATAAAATAAAAAATGGGTTATTTACTATTAATTTAAAATAAAAATGACTGATATTGTCAGGGTATGTATCACATAATCCCCATCCATGGACGCTACTCCCCTGCCACAACATGTATTCATGCATGAACCCACGATAACATGTATTCATGAATAAACACATGTCAACAAACTTTCATGCGTAAACACATCACCATACACATTCACTAGTCACCATACACGTTCACTACTCGTCACCATACACATTCACTACTCATCACCATACACGTTCACTACTCGTCACCATACACGTTCACTCGTCACCATACACGTTCACTCGTCACCATACACGTTCACGTCGGTCACATACACGTTCATCGTCTCCATACACGTTCACTCGGTCTCATACACGTTCAGCTCGTCTCCATACACGTTCACTCGTCTCCATACACGTTCACTCGTCTCCATACACGTTCACTCGTCAACACACAGGTCCTCACTTGAAGACACACTTTCAAATCATATGTTGAGGCAACCTATCAATTTTTATAGACAATCAACTTAAAAACAATTCAAAATTTAGTAGTAAAAACAGTCTTTATTCATTGAGTTGAATTGGCAAACTTGGTTCTATTTCTTAAAACAATGTTTCGTGAGATGATTCATTCAGATCTTCGGGTTGTATATTGAAATAAATTGATTTGACTGTGAAAAAAAAATCATAGTACCATCATATTGGTATTGTAAAACAATCAAAAGTAGCATAAGGGTGAAATAGCGAAGTAAAATACTCTAAAAAGTTTATCTATTTACAATTAATAAAAGAAAAAAATGTTCATACATTTTCTCATTAAATTTATTAGATTACTAAGAATTAAAAAAAAAAAATTCAAGTAAATTGGACTGTGAAGAGTGCTTAGCATATTTTCAGAAATGTTCTAGTGTAGACGTCCTTCCTTCTAATATTGTCCCCAATCTTATTGTAAGATTCAGTCCTCATCGCCACTAATTCTGATTGATGACGTGATTCAATTACAGATTTGTTATGGGTAGGGAGTATTCAAGTTACTGTAATTTTGTGAAATTTATGGACGGTCCCATGTATAATTAAATCACAGTATTATCATACATGTTCTACAGCAGCAAATTTAGTATAACATCACCTTAATTCAGATTAATAATTGCTGCTATTAAAGGTTTCTTACACTACAGTTAGCTGCAGTGCATGACAGATGGCGTCAGATGATGTATTTGGCAACGGTTCCCAATTCTTGCAGGCAGGGGATAAAAACCAAAAATTTTGAATGTTAAATGTGAGCTGTGCATCAAAGCTAATGACAATAAGTCGAAAATATACTTTCATTAATTACATATGGACATCATCGGGACCTTCAGAAATTAATGTTAAATGCGGGAAAACATTCAATTGAGAACGCATTAAGTCAGGGTTGTACTGTATAAGTACAAGGCAAAAGAGCAGAGAAATGCAGCAGTTAATTGATGAAAAGACGGCACCAAAAATTGTATAGAAACCAAATTTATGATCAATGTCAACTTATTAAAAAATAACCACATGCCGAATAAAGAAGAAACACCTTAATATCTTCCATTTTGGTAGGTGCATCGTCAAGAACTGGAGCATCAGAGAGCCAGTGGGGAAATGACTGGAATAAGTTACAGGAAATGAAATGGTGGGTAGGGTTAATGAGGGGAAGGCAGGAGATTGGAATGGGGATGTTAGAGGCTTAAGTAAATGCAGTTGTATAAAAAAATGAGAAAGAAAGGGAGAAAATAAGGTGAGAAGTAGGGATTCCCAATCGCTTTCTTTCATTGAGAAACTTTTAAGAGAATGTTTGCTTCATTAATGTTTTCTTTACAATATACAGCATCCATAATCATGACCTAAGGAATTGAACACAAATGCCTTAAAGATAAAAATTTCATACACCAATATGCTAGAGTAGCTGAGTTACTTATCTTCCTTAAGATGCAATTGTTGCAAATGTTGAATGTTTTTAAGAAATTACCGTAATATGTTTCCAGTGCATATTGCGGAGAGTACTTTCTTGCACAATAAAGTATTGTTATCAAGGCATAATTATAATTTCTTGAGTTTTCCATTTTTCCTAATTCCTAATTCCTGAGGATGGAAGAAAAATGAAAGAAGAGGAGTGAATTTGTAATTTATTATGGTACATTTTGTTTCTTTATATTAGTAAATGGTTAATTATGTTTATTAATTTTTTCTAATCAATGGGATCTTCATTACACTGATGAGACACCATTTGATATTTGGCTATTTGCTCCCAATCAACCCCTTGATCATTATTGACCCCCTTAAAAGTTTCATCGGCCCTCGGGTGTCTGTGCCGACCCCATTGGGAGCCCCGGCAGTAAAGGAAGATTCAATTAATTCTAAGTTTGATCATGTTATTCATATTTATGATTTTAAATAAAACATTATCATACATTGCTGTGAATAGATTTGATTCTAAATTTCTTTTAATAGTATCATGGGTTTTCCACACCGCGACATCTGACATTTCACATTTTAGGCCCCTCTGAAAGTTTTGAACATTGAATTTACGTTGCTCTTATTCTTTCATCAGACGCCACCTAAGA